GCACATGCACACTCAGCATATACTGAAGGAGTTGATTCATTTGATGAAATATTTGCTCGGCAGAGTTTACAAGTTCACCCAAATATTTGGGATCTCATCCACCCAAATATGGAATAGATGCGTCTAAACCCGCCAAAACATGTGCCGACTTGTTACAATAACGAGGCTTTTTTTTTAGGAAAACTTACGAGGCTTGTACATGAATTGGAACTCAATGAAGGCTAATGTCAAAAAGGGCCTTTACTACTCGGAATAGAGCTCCGTTGCTTGTACTAGGTCCATACAAGCTCACCGCATTGACTAGCGACGTGAGCCTCCACCTGGGATCGAATCTTGGTCCATCCTTTTTTTACTAGATGGAAAAATATGTTTTTTCCTAGGTACATGACATTTTTTCTAAAAAAATAACAAGGCAGTTTTATAATTTGTTTAAGTTTGTCACATGGCAAATTTAAACTTTTTTCTAACGTTCACAAGTCAAAAAAATGTATACTTTTTTTATTATTAATACCATGCCATTTTTATTTTTAAGAGGATAACATTTTCTATCTAATGTTCACGAGTCAAGTTTTAAATTGCAGATAAAGTTTGTTTTTGTTTATGGTATTTTTATCTTTAATAACCTAGCATTTTTATTATTAAGAGGATAATATTTTTTATTATTAATAACATGAAATTTTTATTATCATGATAATGGTATTTTTTCTAAAATAAAAAAAACATGTTTAGACCATGGCAAATTAATTGAACTTATGTAGATAAAACATTTTTTCTGTTTGAAGTTGTCATTGGACCAATTCTGTTTGTTTTACGAATTATGGCATGATCATTTTTATTTCTATTCATGCTTTTCCGTCATGTATAATATTTTTTTCAGTTAATGACAATTTTTTTCCAAAATTTGATCTAATTAGGCCTGTTATGTTTTCAAACGCGATTCTTTGGCGGGAGGACGAAACAGATGATGGTTCGCTGGAACATGGGTTGTAGCAAACGAGGGAAAAAAAATAACACAACCGTTCGCTCCATCATTCGTTGGCATTTTAGCAACCTTAATAAGTGTCACATGTGTGGTACGAACGAGTTTAGTGACGCGAGGATGGTAACTTTAAGGGAGAAGTCTGTTTTAAACCTCGTCTTCGCTCGACCCGGCGAATTCGAACCCCAACCTTTAAATCCCAGAAATCGGCACCCCCACCTCTCTAATCCCAGTTCTTTGCACCCTTAAGCTCGTTCCCAAACAGGGATTCGCTGGTGTGCGACTGGGATTGCTGACTCAGCTCTTGTTGATCGTGGGTCCAACTGGTTCAGGCACGGGGATAACTGGCTGAACCGAACCATCTTGCCTGTTCGCTGTTCTGTTCGCCCCATCATCTCCCTTCTCCCCTGACGCATCAACTTCTCCTCCGCGGTAGCGATGGCGAACGGTGGATGATCGCAGCCACCTCCGACTAGCACTCCTGCAGAACAAGAGCAGGTACACGGTGTTCTTCCCGAGCGTCCAGTCGCTGCTTTTTTGGGGGAAATTTGACACTCTTGCGGGCGCTAGGTTTAGGGTTGTACAGGTGTTCAAGCTGGATTTTTTGGGGTTTAATTTTTGCTAAGGTCAGATGGTTTTGTTTCTAGTTCTAGTTCAATTATGTTTATGTATTTGATGTAATGTAGGATTTTGTCACTGAAAACATGGATCCAGCAGAAGTGTTGACTGTCAGATTCCACTAGAGTTCTTACAGATTGGTCCATCGCTTGATTATGTGGGTGGAGATATTGGAATGTCAGAGATTGAGCGGGACAAGCTCTCGCTGCCAGAGCTGAAAGGCTTTTTAGGAGATCATATGACAGTGAAGGAAAGCATGAAGTTCCATTTTTTGTTGCCTGGCAGGGAGTTGATAAATGGACTGCTTTTCTTATTTGATGATGTTGGTTGCATGAAGATGTCTAACTACATTACAGATGGAGGGGTTGCTGAAGTATATGTGGAGTATAATGGGGAAGAGGATGAACCAGAGGAAGCAGATAGTGGGTCTGATTTTGAAGGAGATGAGCTTGAGAACCTGATGTGTATTGGCAGTGAAGATGCACCTAATTTAGTTATCACAGCAGAAGATGAGCATGGCAATGGAAATGAACAGACTAGTGGTGCAAGAGGAGAGATACTTGAACACATACTTGTTCCCAATAAAGGTGGTGTGGTCACACAAGTGATTAGCAGTCCATTGAAGAAAAATGTGAGAAGTGGTTATGCTAGTCAGAGTTCTCAAGTTGTTAATCCAACTCAAGCATATGATATGTCCCAAGTTTCTGAAGTTGTAGAAAATGTTGCAGTAGATGCACAACATGCTGTTGTAGTTCCACAAAATGGTACTGCCATTTCTGAAAGTGTCGCAGTACTTTCTGAAAATGTTGCAGAAGTTGCACAAGATGTTGTAGATTCATTTGACTCAGAGGACATTGAGTATGTGCCACATACAGATGACAGTGGGGAAGAATCAGAGGTTGTTGAGCTGAGAAAGCATGCAAGAAAATTCAGGAAAAGGATGAGAGATTCCAAGAGGTGGGCTGATACAGATTCAACCGGGGCAGTGCCTATTGAGCTGGTGGCAAATGTGGAGGAGGCTGTATAGGATATGGAGTTCGAATCATCTGATGAGGTCTACTCATATGATGAAGATGAAGATGGGAACATGGTTAGAAGGAAGAGCCAATATGTTAGGTTTAACCCTGACTCTGACATTCCACACTTCAGTCTGGGAATGGTTTTTAGAAGCAAGAAGCAGTTAACTAAAGCTATAAAGAGATATGGACTTGCTACCAAAAGGAGCATTTCCTTCTTAAAATCTGAGGAGCACAGAGTTAGAGCAAAATGGGACTGGCCTGGGTGTCCATGGTTGTTATATGCAGCAAAAACAAGCAGGTGCTCTAGGTTTCAAATCATCACATTTGAAGATGAACATGAATGTGCACAAAATAGAGACAACAAACTGGTTACTGCTAAGGTCATTGCCAAAAGGTATGAGAATTTCATCTTGGCAAATCCTCTATGGAAGATTGACAGCATGAAATCCGCAGTGATGCAAGAAATGTTTGCTGATGTATCAATTTCAAAGTGCAAGGCAGCAAAAAAAATTGTACTTGACAAGCTTTTATGTGGTATGAAAAATGAGTACACAAAAGTGTTTGATTATCAGTTGGAACTTCTTAGAAGCAACCCGGGGAGCACAGTGATTGTTTGCTTGGATCCAAAAGAGATGGAGCAGAACATTTTCCAGCAATTTTATGTTTGTTTCAATGCAATGAAGAAAGGGTTTAAAGCAGGATGCAGAAAAGTGATTGGGCTGGATGGATGTTTCTTCAAGGGAGCATGCCAAGGTGAGCTACTAGCTGCAATTGCCAGGGATGCCAACAACCAAATGTATCCAGTTGCATGGGCTGTTGTGGAGAAGGAGACCAAGGATACCTGGGCCTGGTTTATTGGACTTCTTATCAAAGATTTGGACATTAATGATCAAGGTGCTGGGTGGGTCTTTATTTCTGACCAACAAAAGGTAAAATTTATTTAATGCCTAGGACAAAAAATATTAATGTCTTTTTTTGGATATGCATTTTTAATTGCTGCTAACATTTGTCTCTTTTTGCAGGGCCTAATTATAAGCATGAGAGACTACTTGCCTAGGGCAGAGCATAGGATGTGTGCTAGGCACATTTATGCCAATTGGAGAAAGAAACACAAAGACGATGAGTTGCAGAAAAGGTTCTGGGCCATTGCAAAGGCTTCAAACAGGGAAGATTTTAACTACAACAAAGCCAAGCTAGCTCAACTTACTCCTGATGGTGCAAAGGATATCATGAGGACAGAGCCCAAGCATTGGGCTAGGGCTTTCTTTCCAGTTGGGGCAAAATGTGAATCAGTTGACAACAACCTTTGTGAATCATTCAACAATGCTATTATAGAAGCTAGGTTCTACCCCATTATTTCACAGCAAGAGAAGATCAGGAAGAAATTATATGTTAGAGTTCAAGAGCACAGAGCCAAAAGTGACAACTGGAAGGGCACAATTTGCCCAAACATTTTTAAAAAACTCAAGGCTAGTATCAAGAGAACTCAATTTTGTGAGGTCCTCTGGAATGGCAAGGAGGGCTTTGAGGTCAAGCATCTGACTGGGAGAGGCAGGAGGTACACAGTAAATCTTGACAATAGGACTTGTTCTTGTGGTTACTTTCAGTTGGCAGCATTGCCTTGCACTCATGCCATATGTGCTATCTATAAATGTGGGAGAAAGTTGGAAGATTACATTGACAACTGCTACTCCATTGAAACTTTCAAAAAGATGTATGAGCACTGCCTCCTGCCTGTTGAAGGAGAGGAAAAATGGCCCGTGTCCCAAAACCCTAGGCCAGTTGCACCTGGCTACATTGCCATGCCAGGGCAAAGGAAAAAGAATAATGATAGAAGGAGAGAAGAGGGTGAAGCACCAAAGGGTAAGAAACTGAGCAAGCACGTCATTCAGATAACTTGTGGATCTTGTGGTGGTAAGGGGCACAATAAAACTTCTTGTTCTAAGAATGGAGATAGTACAAAAAAAACAAAATCACATCTTGGCAAGAGAGGGAGAAAAGAGAGAGCTACAGAGGTAATTTATTACTATGTCTGCTCTGTTCAAATGAAATTATGCACCTATTTTGCCTAATTTGTCTATTTTATTTGCTTTTGGTTTCAATTTCCTTTTGGTTTGTTTTTTATTTTTAGATGACAACTTTAGTTTCAAAAGTATCTGCACGTATGGCACTTATTATTTGGGTTTAGCAAGAGCGCAAATCATAGAAATAGAAGAAAAAAGTCGGAAAAGATCATGACTACAGAGTGAGTAGTACAGACCGATGCCGGCGCGTAATAGACGGCGGCCAACAGCCCGAGTCGTTGTCACCACGACACGGCAAGGCGAGCATGGCCCCGGCATCACTGCGGAACAGAGGGTCATCATCTCCAACCTCACCCCCGTTCAAGCTTTCCTCTCCAGCACCGGCGCGTCCGGCGAGACGGCGATCCAGAACTCCTCGTCCTCCTCGAGCGCCGCCATGTGCTCCGACGTGAGCGTGAGCTCCGCGTCCATGCCGCCTCCCCCATCCCGACATGGGTACAACGACGTGCCTCCGTCGACCTTGTTCGCCTTGCCGCTCCGCGCCGCCACCGGCTTCCCCCACCCGAAGTCGCACCCGAACATATCGAACCGCGGCGAGCTCCCCATCAGCGTCCCGCATGGATCGTGCCAGCTCATCATGTACGCCGGCGGGTCTTTCGCCGGTGGTTTCGCCGTCAAGGCCGCCACCCGCTCCCTGATGGCCGCGTCTGTGTGCGCTGCCACCGCGCGCCCGACGGCTGCCGCTGCTCAGCCATGCCCGCGCTCCAGCAGCTCCGGTGCGCGCACCGCCTCCGCGCAGATGGTGCTGATGGCATTGCCGAAGTACTCCGTCGGCAGCTGTGGCCGGAGCCGCCCGCGGTTGTTGATGGCCGCGCGGCACGTGGTCTCCTTTTCCGGCGACAGCTTTCGTGCGCGGGTGATGCAACGCCATAGGAGAGAGGTCAGCGCCTGAAACCTGGTCAGGGCGGCGGCACCCTGCGCGTCGCCGGTGGCCAGGAGCTCCTTGCGTGCCCGCTCCTTGAGCGCCGCCAGCGACTCCGACGAGAAGTGGAGCATCCGCTCGCGCAGCGGCGTCTGTGGGGTGCGCTCGATGAGGTCCGACACTTCCGTGCACGGCAGCACGACCGGCGCCGCGGCTCCGCCATCGGGCGACCAGCGGTCGAGCAAGGGCCGGCGTAAGGGCTGCTCTTGCGGGGATCCGAGGAGCCTGGCACGCGCGATCTCGGCCCAGGCATTGATGAAGCCCCAGAAGGCGGTGCCGTCGGAGAGCGCGTCTGCGCGTGGTTGTAGGAGAAGCCAACGAAGACGCCGTCGGCGAGGTCGGTGACCTGCACGGCGAGGAGCGGGTGGTCGCGGCCGTCATAGTTGATGGCTCCATCAAGCAGGAAAAATGACTGAACCACGACCGGCACGTCTGCGTCGGGAGGAATCACGTCCGCCATGGAGATGCCTTCGTCGGCCACGGCGTGGACAACCTGGACGCCCTGCCCGTCGCAGTCGATGGCGACAGAGCATCCCACCACAACGTCGCCGTGTTCACCGCCATAGTGCCGGTCGGTTACGAAGCGGCCGGCGACGGGATAGTAGTCGACGAGCGCGTCGGCGAGGGCGGCCGCGAGGTGGTCCACGACTTGGGCGGTGGTGGAGAGGAGCTGGCCCGTGGGCTTGTGGAAGAGGAGGCCCTTCTGGATGTAGTTGGCGGAGAGCATGGGGACGTCCCAGGTGGTGAGCGGGATGCGGCGGCGCGGCCGCGGCGGTGGCCTCACGGTGCGCGACGACACCACGCTCACCATTTTCGCTTTTGCTTCGCTTGCTTGTGGATTGGGTTGGTTCGCTGGCACCAGCGTGCGTCCAGGATCGATAAGGATGGGACGGGCAGAGATCTTGTCCTCACACAACTTGTATTTGTTTTTGGTCCACGTGATCCATGCATGTCCTCATGCGACCACGCACCCACATCAATCATGCTATAGTTTTGCAAACCAAAGCGCTGAAAATCTTATGTCAGATTTTTAGACATGGCAAAGCTAACATTTTTCATGACAATTTGAAGTACAGTTTTGCCAAGTCTTACTGGACTTAGATTTCGTTATGTCTTAGTCGATGCTATATTTCTTCGATCCTGCATGGAGATCCGTGCAAAATTTGTTTTCTCTTTTTTCTTTTTCTTCTTATATACTACTCCCTCGGTTTCAAAATAGATGACCCAACTTTATACTAACTTAAGTATATCACTTGACTGAGACTTGGTTAAGTCTCAATCGACTGAGACCTAGACACACCTTAAAGTACTCCTTGTTTGTCTTGTGGTCGAGGAGATTGATTCCGCTAGCGCAAGTATTCGAAACAAGTTGAAGTTACAGTGAAAACACGACAGAAGCACTAAAATTAATTGTAAGACCAATTAAGTTGGCACATAGAAGACTTGACTTAAATCAAGTGTAATTTTTTCTTCTACATGAGCTATTCGATATTTCCGAGCTCATGAAACTTCTAACACGGCAGAGGCAAGAATTTTTCTTGGTCTTGGTCGCGGGCGTCTTGCGGATGTTAGAGGGCGTGGTTGTAGGTGAGACCACCAGTTTGGCCAACACTGAAGGAAGCCGGCCGAGCACCCAACGGTTTTACCGGGACCGTGTGCGCGGTTGTAGTGGCTTTCACAGGAGTGATGCCGGTGTGTTGATGTAGTCTTAGCTGTTGGATGCGGTCAATACCGCACGTCTTGCAGCACTAGTGCCAGAGGACGCATGTCCATCCTTGTGGATGAGGTTGTAGAGGCGGTGGCGGTGATGTGTTGACGACCTTGGCGATGAAGTGTCGGCAATGGCGTTGCAGTAGCGTGTCGACGATGATGCGTCGCTTGAAAGCGTCCCTACGGCGACGAAGTGTCGATGCCTTGTCGTGCCGGAGAAATCGTTAAAGAATTGCATAGCTTTCCACACCGGCCTGACGTGTCGGTGATGCACATCGATGTTGCTTCTCCTAGTGTGCTCGACGATGAAGATTTTTTTTCTTAGGCACGATGTAGATGTACGACTTGGGTCGCGGCGTGTGGTCGGAGGAGATCGCTCGGTGCTCGGTGGAGATAGTGGTCGGCGGCTGGTGCATCGCTGACGCGGATGAATCGAAGCCGGCTAGCACATCCGGTAGTTGATCCGAAGTTCAGAGTGTCAGACGCCATGTAGATCGGATCGTGCCCAACTGACTGGAGGTGTATCTCACGGTTGACAATGTAGATCGGAGAGGGTTTTTTTTGGCAAAAAAGAAGGATGAGAGGGCGCTTAGATGCTTTTCTAATTTCCTGATCTTTGTTTTCTCTATAAGCAACTAGATAAGCGCCTAGCGTTGTGGATGCTCTAAGATAGCTTCAAATATCGTGCATAACAAGTGTGTTTATTCTAATAACGGGGTTAATTTCTTTATGCATAGGCACACTATAGGTGGGGGCTTGTGCTTTGCTTCTTCATCCTCCTTTCGGTCTCTCAAGGAACAGTGTTCTTTGCTTTTGGGAAGGGCCGTTGAACAACTGCATTCCATGTCATGGTTCAAGTTGTATATTGCTATTTTCAGTTCAGATTCAGTGCCCACATGGTGTACTCTGTCTCTGATACCAGTGGTTGAGGCACATGTACATCATCAGAACTTAAAATTGTTCAGCTATGTTTACGCTGATCTGATTAGGTTTACATAATGCACAATTTACAGAAGGCATCGAAAGGAAAACTGAACAGGCTCATAATCTCTAATTGTGCCAACATTTTGCACATATGCTAGAACAATTATATGAGAGAAAAGTCCACAATTCAACCCTGAACTAACCACGGCATTTGATTTTCAACCCTCAACTCTAAAACCGGTCGGATTTCAACCCTGAACTTGTCATACTGTCCACTTTACCCCCCTTGACTCGGTTTCTGGCAAGTCAAGTGGTTTTGACCCGGTCAAAGCTGACTGGGCAGCCCAGTCAGCATGCCACATGTGAATGGGCCAAGCCCTATCCCCATCTCTCTCCCTCAGTTAGACCCGAGTCCCCGACCCACTCATTACTACTACAAATGTCTTCAACATATATGTCCACTACACCTCCATCTGTTTCATATGAGAGCATGTGCTTCAAAAAAAATTCATCAACCAATGCCATCAATCCATCAGACAATTGTTTTCCAGGACATAACCAATGCAGCATCATGATTTCTCCTCGTCGAGCAACACTATAATGCACTTTTAGATTAACAATGATAGTGCCCAAGGACAAACCGTGCCGCTCGACATGAGCAATTTCCTCCGTGCCTCCAACATATTCCAGATTTTGATCCTCACGCACAAATGTACCATTGAATTGGAATCACAAAACCAAGAAATCCAGAGGGCCCATTCAATCTACAAGAGATAAAAACACGACAAAAAATTACTAGCGTTCAAGCAATAGAGAGGGACAAAATAAACTAGGGATGGAGCAGCTCGCGGGCGGCTAGGGTTAAGCTCGCCGGCGGTTAGGGTTAGCAACAGCTCGCCGGGAAATTTGGAATAGAGGGAGTAAGGGAGGGAAAATGGAGGGAGGAGGGGGAAAGAGAGGTGGACCTGCGCGGTGCGGCGGCACCGCCGGTCTCCGTGTCCGGCGGTGGGGGTGGTGGTCGCGGGCGGCGGCATTCTTGGAGACCCAGGCCGCAGCGGCGGCGCGGTGGTGGCCGCGGGTGGCGGCAGACCCAGGCGGCGACGACGGGGTGGTGGCCGCGAGCGGCGGCGTTCCTGGAGACCGGGCGATGGCGGTGTCCAGGCGGCGGTGGCGGGGTGGAGTGGGTCGGGGACTCGGGTCTGGAACGGAGGGAGAGAGATGGGGATAGGGCTTGGCCCATTCACATGTGGCATGCTGACTAGGCTGTCCAGTCAGCTTTGACCAGGTCAAAACCACTTGACTTGCCAGGAACCGAGTCAAGGGGGGTAAAGTGGACAGTGTGACAAGTTCAGGGTTGAAATCCGACCAGTTTTAGAGTTGAGGGTTGAAAATCAAACGCCGTGGTTAGTTCAGGGTTGAAATCCGACGGATTTTAGAGTTGAGGGTTGAAAATCAAACGCCGTGGTTAGTTCAGGGTTGAAATGTGGACTTTTCTCATTATATGAAGCTCCATTAGTTTATTCAGTGCGCTATTCGTACCGTCTTGAATCCGAGATCAAGATGACCATAGCGGTTACAACCTTGGAGCAGAGCAGCCTAAAGACAGATTATATAATGTTTGGGACACATTCAGAGAAGTCGACGACATCACTGATTGGTCGGCAGCTCGTTCTCCTTCCAAGCAGAAAACCCTCCGGCGATGTCGATCACGCCGGTGAAACCCTGATAAAGTTACATGACACAAATCAGGGAGAGCAATTTATGAAACAACAGCGACGATGACATGGATTGTCATTGACGTGCTTACGGCGGAGCAGAGTTCGGTAGCTGCCATGAGAGACCTCCTGCCACTTTGGCATCCCTGTAATTTGCAAGCAAAGTTTGAATTTAAGGAGGATATGATGACCCAAAAGAAATCAAAAAAAACCAAGCGTGTTTCGTATCAGTGGAAGGCGTACGATGATGATCTCGTCTTCCCTCCTGAATATCGCCGACACTTGCTCTAGAAAGCCCGAGTTTTTCA